AAATGTGGTTTAAGGTATTCTATATTTATTTAAAGTAGAATCCATGAGGCCATGAGGATGAAGCCTCTCAGGTTCTACTTTGGATTTTTTTTTTTTTTTAATTTCTGGCACTTTCTTCAAGCTTTTTCCATAGAATCTTATTTGGTTTCTCTTGTTATTAAAAATAGTCTAAGTCAGAGGCTCTGAATCTTGATTTCTTTTTTATTTTAAATATCAAACTAAAATGAAAATAATGCAAAATCACACTCTGTATTACATAAACATAGGGATTCAATATGTTCTGAATAAAGTTTTCACTTTTGATACTGTGTCTCTCAGAACATGCTGCTCAGGTGTTTTCCTGTCTACAAACTCACATTTATATTATTTAATAAACACATACATGGAGAATCCTTACTGCAGAAACACCATGTCGGCCTTCTGATAGGACACCACATGGGAGCCCTACAGTAAGACAAGGGAAGGGACCACATGAGTCAGAGACCACAGCTAACGCCTGTCTCCTCTGAAAAAACTGGGGATGGCAGACCAGGATGTCCACCCAGGTTCAAGGAAATTCCCCTTCCTGCAGTTGCAGGAGAGAACATTTCTTGAACTGCCATACTAGATTGCAAGGGTGCGTCGTGTTCCTTAACCTCCGTGCTCTAACGAGAGCAGGGCTTCCACCTTGAGATGGTTACCCTTCTCAATGCTCTGATTGCTCACGATCATCTCTGGAGTGAGGCAGGTGTGCAGTTTTTCCTACTTGGATAAAAATAAGATTTATTTTTGATGAATTCCCTAGAAAGTGAATGCTTCCCCTGGAGCCACCAGGACTCTGGGATTCAGATCTCCCAGGCAGACATAGGTGGCAGGTAGAGGTGGATGGAAAAGAAGAAGAAAGGGAAGAGCTGCTTCTGCACATGCCCATGGGCTTCAGAGTTTCCTGACACCCAGGCCCTCTCTCCAGCAGGCCTTGCCTGCTCTGAGGGTACAGTCCTCACCATCCCCTCCTCCACTGGTCACTGCCCATGGCATCCATCATGGTGGGTCACTGCATTGGGGGTGGATGATATAAAAACACAGGTTTCCATGTTTATCCGTAACTCTCGCCATCACAATAGGAATGAGAACTGAGCTTTTCCTACTCTCCAGATGGCATTTTCTTGGTTTGTCAAGAGGAGGACATCCTGGTACTATGACCTCAGAGAGAACACGTGGGATGTCCCTAGAAGCCAAAATCCTACCTCACAAGGCTGCCTGGACGTTCATGGAATCCCTGGGTGACTGGGAGTTGCCCTCTATGGAAGGGGCTGGGAGGATAGAGAAGGGTCCGAGCCCTAGATATGTCTTCTAAGAACACAGGGCTACACTCAGAATCACATCAGCATGGGAATCTAACTCAATGGTCATACCAGGAGAAATCTACCAGTGTACATGGATGCATCTCAAAGGTTTTCTCACACACACTGCACTTCCACAAATTCTTGAGACTAGGGTAAGACAAAACTACTCAACCTGATGGAACTAGGAGAATGCCTGGGAACCCATTTAGACTTATTTATAATCATTAAAGGTTTGCATGGTTAGTTTATTTTTGTTGATTTGAAGGTTTATGAATATTCTGTGGCATTTTTTCCCCAAAAGAGCCAGGGTTGTGGTGCTTTGTCTCTGAGTCCTTACTTTATCTGGGTTACACTGATTAAGAAGCATTTATGGAAAAATAAGCAAAGCAGTCTCGTTTAAAATAAGGAAGCCTTTTTCCTAATTACTTCTAAGACACCAAAGGAACAACAGAAATAAACATCCCTGTGCATAAGCATAGTTCACTTGACCAAGGGTCCAAAGACAATGGTCCCACATTATTTGTGCTACAAACTCATTGAGCAGGCTGGGGCCCAGTGCCCCCGGCCTCCTCAGGAAACATGGTCTCTAAGCTCCCATTCGGTGTGTATGTTTGCATTCAACTCCCAGAAAGAGATTCACTTCCAGAATACAGTGGCTACCCAAAATGCCTCTGACTTTTGCCTACAAAGTTAATCTCCATTCACACACAGACCCCTATCTTCATTTCTCCTTGCATTTAAAAGAGAAACATCTGCAATCAGGTTCAGAAGAGGAGCACACCAATAGCCAACTTCCTAGACCAGCTTCAGCTTCCGATACTAACCTCCCATCTTGCCATGGTGCACCCCAACAGATTCTGGCCCACTCTGCCATGGTGCACCCTAAGAGATTCTGGCCCAGGGGACATGATATCAATCCCCACACTCCAGACTCTCAAGTAAGTGCCGGTGCTCACAGTGTACCCCTGGGGCTTAGAATAAGCAGACAGGGCCTCATTCATGCTTGCCTGTGGACAGCGTTTACTACCAAATTTGCCTGGGACTGTGGGATACACTCACAGTTTTCTGCCGGCCAGAGGTACCAGCCCTACCACACATTGGCCGGGAGACAATGAGCAAATGCTTTCATGACTTGATTTTCTACCAACGCAATCCTATAAAATGAAATCACTGCCTTTCATGGTTACTATGCAAATTAAAGGTAATACAGCAGCCATGATATCCATGATAATGCCTGGCACAGCATGCAAAACCTACCAAAGGAATGCTGAGAGGCACTGCTATTTCCCTAGTCTCCCTCAAACAGTTCAACTTCCTGCCCAAGCCACCGCAATGAGGCTTAGAAGCCTTCTCTTAAGTTCCCAAAAGCCATTCCAAGCTGTGCAAAGTAAGAAGAGCACAAATCCAGGTGATAAGCATCCAGAAATAGGCTTTCACCTGGGTGAGTAAGGGGCTGAAATCTGGGATCCTACCTCAGATGTCCAGGTAGTTGAGAAGAAGCTGCAAGCTGCCCCCAGCCAGCCCTGGTCTGCAAGGGAGTGGCATTTGTCCCTTGGAACTGCACCTGGAGCTTGTGTGGAGGGAATCCTGGTTCCTGCTCCTTGGGGCTCTGGAGCCTGCTGCTTTGAGGCAGGGAGCTAGCTGCTCCGCCTGTGCCTGGGGATGGGAGTGACCACCATGGAGTTCCTCCTGGAGCCCTGACAGTCCATCCCTTTTCTGGAAGGATCTGACCAAAGGGCCCAGCAAAGTGACTGCCCCAATTTTGCTTTGTTCCAGCTGGTACAGGACAGGGGAGGCTATCACAAGGCAACCAGGGAAGGTTGTGCTCCTAGAAGCCTAAGTGCAAGAGGTTCACATAAGGGAGAACCTGGGAACTGTTCACAGCCTCAAACCAGCACAACCTCCAAATGCCTCCCCTTGGGGCTAGGAACTAGAGACCCAACTCTCAGTCAAAGGCGCCCCTGGAGAGGGGCGTGCACCTCCTCTGCCAGACTTTATACTGAATTCCCTGCCTGGGAAAGGAGGAGGAGAGGAGGGGCTGGGGGTTAAAAAGGGAGAGGCCGCCCCTTCTTTGCAAAAGCACACTTGGCCCCCTCCCTCAAAAGGTCTTGAACTCCAGCTGGCTGGGATGCAATGGAGGAAAGAGCCTGGCCTCCCTGCATCCATCAAACCATCCGAAACAACCAGGAAGATCTACCTGGGGGGCTGCAAGGTGGATGAACCCACCTCGGTTCCCGGGGCCAGGTCTGGGAGCTTCACCAGAAGAACTGTGCATATCCCCTCCCTCTGCGTTTCCCTGCGTGCCCTCCAGCTCCAAGCTCGGGATCCTCCCAGCCCAGCACGCTGGGCTCCCCCACTCCCAGATTTGCTCCGCCCAGGTGCAATTCGCCGAGCAGCCAGGAAAAGGTGGCTCCCACTGCAGCCTCCGCCCTGCAGGCTCCTCCTTAGCCCTGGGACCCCTGCCTATTTTCGGGGCGCTGAGGACTCCCCTTCTCTAGGGGATCCCCTCGGGATCAGGCCAGGAATCCCCTTCCCACCCGGGGTTGTAGAGACATTCTTGAAGCCCAAGTACTGTCAAGGAAGGTGGGCGTAGGTCTACAGACCCTGCTGCGGAGATGAAGGGGTGCAGAGGCAAGCTGGTGCCTGGGAGGAGACGGATTATGATCCTCTTGGAGCGTCCTCGGTCTATGATCTGAACATCAGTCACCGCCCAAGATGCCAACGCATTCCGATTGTAGCCGAGAGGTCTGTTTGTTCCTGGGGAGGGAGCTCTTTCCACCCGTGGCAGGAGCAGCCTTCCCAAAAAGCGGCGGCCGGGAATTCCTGAGCTGCATCCCACCTCTGGATCTCCCAGGTACCCAGCCCCTCCCCCCTGTATTTACACACCCTGGCCAGCTCCCCCGGACTTCAGTGTCTTTTCCTTCTCAGTGACCCCGCAGGACTGGCCCCTCGCCCACTTCAGCTGAGCCTTTCCGTCCCCCTCACCCGTGGGCAGACTTCAACCTTCGCCGCCTCCCGCATCCTCAACAGCAATCTTTTCCTCCCTCACCACTTGCTTCCCCCCAACCCAGATCAACACTCGCAGTTCTCACGGCTCACAACGCAAAGCCACTCCACCGGTTTTATTAGCGACTTGGGGGTGGCGTGCTCCAGTCACTTGAACCCCACCGCTGTGAACAGAGTCCCCGGTGGCCGGCAGCCGTCTCCCACATCCCACCTGTCCTGGCTCGCCCTCTCTGCCTCCCACCCAGCCTTCGACAGGCAGAAGCACTGCTAGGTCCCAAACCCTTGCCCCTGAGCAGAGCTGCGGGGACTGAAAAGTCAAACTGCATGAACACACCGAGAGAAATGGGCAGATGCGTACAGCTAGGGGAGCGGGGGAAGGGCGCAGCGAGAACCGAACAGGCACCGCACTGGGGTGAGCGCCACGCAGGGAGGGTCACAAAAGTTTGCAGACTGCTGCAGGGCACCCGGCCACGCGGGAGCGAAGAGGGTCGACTCCCTCTCGCCTATGAGGGTCTCTCCTAGGATCTGTGTCGAAGGGACCCAGAGGTCTGGACAGACAGGGCTCAGAACTGCGGTGACAACTCTCCGTGTCCCGGAGAGATGGCCTAGGCACCGTAGCAGGGAGCTGATCCCGCGCTCTGCGTAAAGCAACAGGCGGCCGCACCTTACCTTGCGCCAGTCCGGGGTTGGGATGGCTGCTCCATCCTCCTGGCGCAGGGAGGAGGCGTTTGGTGCGTACGCCTAGGGGTGTGCGCGCTACCGGGGCTGCAGCGGCCGCCGCCTCCAGCCGGTGCAAGCCGGGCTGCCCACCCCGACCCGGCCACCCGGCCGGGCTCCGCTCCGGAGCGACCGCCGCGGCGGCGTGGGCTGGCGTCTTTGCGCGCAGCCACCGAGCGAGGGTGCGGCCCCGGGCGGCGGTGCGGGGCACGATTTGGCTCTCCGCTGCGGCGGCCGCTGCAGACCCTGCACCGGGCGCCGAAGCCTCGCCTCGCGGGAAGAGAAGACAAAGGGGAAGGAGGCAAAAAGCTACTCGCCCAAATGCAGGCAGCTCAGTCACCAGAGGGGACTCTCCTCCAAACCTGGGCTGGGGATGAAGGAGGAGGGGCGAGGCTGCCGGGGACCAGAAGGGCAGAAGGGAGTGAACGTGACTGGCAGAGCTGTGTTGCCGCCTTGCTGGAGCCTCGCCCTGGCCTGATCGCTGGAGGGTCCTGAATGGGGCGGAGAGGAGTTTCAGCCTGTTTTTGTAGGAGAGGAGCTGAGGTAGAAACCACAACCCAGTTCTCTGCTCTTGCATCCTCTTGCAAAGCTCCAGGATAGGCTGCTATGGGCCCATTGTTTCTCCTATTTTCCTGACTACTGAGACCTGAGTTAAAGTATTTGGTAATGGGCCCATTGTCCTCAATAGGGAAAAAGCAGATACCTAAAATTAACTCAATGAATGATGCCTACCGGGTGCCAAGTACAGTGCTAGGGGACTGTAGAAGATGAATGAGACAGGACTACCCCCACCAGGATCCATCGTCAGATCTCCAGATGAGTGTCCCCTGTAATTCGGGATGCCCAGACTTTAGGCATTGGGTTGCAGCCCCTAAACCCTGGTCCCCAGCCTCCCCAGATTCCCAGAGCAGGAGATACCAGGATCCTCTTCCCCTGGCAGGCATGGGTTTGAATGTACAGTGGAAACGGTGAATCCCTTAAAGTGTGCGTGTGTGTGTGTCTGTGGAGAGAGAGAGAGAGAGAGAGAGAGAGAGAGAGAGAGAGAAAATCATTGGTTTCAGTGATGTTCTTATTTTACGATTTTAATTATTTATCAGATCTGCAGTAGAAACCCGTTTAAGACTGAGCAACTTGCCTCTCCAGCCTCAACAAACAGGATCTTCTTTCCAAACCCCCTTCCCGCTTCCTTCTAATGCCCACCCCAGGCCTAATTAATCTTTCTTTTCTTCTCTATACTATCACAGAATTTTATATCCAAACATTTGTGGGACTGACATATTCACAGATCTGTTTTCATTTCACTCACCTATGAGACCCTCCCCTTGTCCCCAGTGCAACATGCAGCCGTGTTTCTATACACTGAGACCACTGGATGCAAAGGATGCTTATCCATTTGAAGGTCGTTTTTTCTTTGAAGAGCAGAGACTCCCAGGGTCCTTAGAGTAAAGGAGTCCTGTCCTGGAGCCTCTAACAGTTTGTGAAGGAGTAAGGCACACACTGACTTTCCCAGACCCTTTGCTGACAGGACAAAGCTATTTCACTTGTGCTCCTATTTAATCTGCTCCCAGTGACCATCGCACTTCTTCCTGCTGAATTCCCATGGGCAGAGAAGCCGAGCTGTTGAGCTTCTGCACACAGAAAGTCAGTACTCCACAGCAATGCCCAGAGCAAAGGTATTCCAGGTGAAGATCCACCAGAAAATATACCATCGGATGGTCTGTGTCAATTATGTTGGAAGCTTATTAATGCTTCCCGAATTTCCAATGAGGCTTTCTTATTCTAGATGCATTTTCGTGTAGGTTAAGCAGTTTCGTTGCTGGGCGGTGAAGACCTATGCTGAGTTTAGGCACCTTCTGGAATATTTTAAACTATTGTCATCCCAGAGCAAGCAGGCACTGTGAACAAGCCCCACATTACACAGCCTTATACTATATGACCCTGACCTTCCATTTCTAAGATTTTATAATGTGATTTGAGTTAGTTTTTTTAAAAATATATTCTTTTATCTTCTAAATGAGACTTTAGGACCCAGACATAAATACATATAGAAAGCAGGTATGCAATTTTGTGTAATCATTCAGAGGGATATTTGGCATTTTTTTTGAAAATATAAAATTCTGTGTGACACTGTGCCAGTGACTCTCCTGCTTACAACTTGTCTTCAAGAAAAGACTGCAGATAGACAAGATTTGTCTGCAGGGATACTTACTGAACTATTCTGTAAAATAGTGGGAGAATGAAAGGGAACAGAGCCAAACTCAGACATTGAAGAAGAATGGAATAGGGGAAATATTTTAATAGTTACTTACAATGGACTATTAGTACATTAAACTCTCATATGTGCATATTGTTGTGGTTGATTATTATAACCTTAGTTGAAAAGTTCCAGATGGACAGAGTGACACAGAAAATAATGAGGTTCAGAATCTGAATTTTACAGATTTAAAACACTTAAAGCTGGGTGTTTCTGGTTGCTCACTACACCTTGAGTCTGAATCTTTAATTTCTCAGCTGTGTGATTCGATTAATGCTCTTCTTTAATAAATGCTGTTCTAAACAAAATCATTGTGTATAGAACATTTAATCCTTAATAATGTTCCATAATTAATATATTTAATTAAAAATAAACTAATTTCTAACCATGGCATGGGTAACTTCTAGGCTTGGTGACTTTCCACTTTAGTCCATTTATCAAGTCATCAACATGACTTGCTGACAGTTGGTGTCACCCATGCTATAAAAAGGACATATGACAGGGCCTGGAGTTTGCCACCTCCGTGATAAGCTTAGGTTTGTTTGTAGCAACCAGGAGTCAAGTCTAGCTCAGCAGAGTATGTTTTTAGTATGAAGATCTGATTGGTGGTTTCCTCTGCCTTGGGTTGACAGTCAACTAAAAAGAGAAAGAGGAAAAGGGACAGTGTCTGACACCATGTCTGTAACTTAATTAGAGAAGGAATCGAGTCCCGAAGGGTCACGGGACTCATTGACTCCTGTGCACCTTTTGGCTCTTCTGCTTCAGAACTGGACCATTTATCAAAACTATCTGCACACATAAGAAATGCTACAGGAACATACACAGAAATACGGTTTGTTGCTGCTCTCTGTCAGTGCATTGTTTCAAAGTCAATACGCTCCAGAAAATTTTGCATGCGCAAGAATTTTCTTAAATTCTGAACTATGTTCTTTCTGGGTTGTAAAGTCTCTACAGAAGTGGAAATACCTTCCTCTCAAAGGGGAAGAGTTCTCAAATCCAGATAGTTGGGGTACCTGAAGCCCTATTCTCTGAAGAATGAAAGGCATCAAGGCAGGAAGATGTCACTACCCTAAAGCCTTTGTCAGAAGTGTTCCAGGTAACAATGATGTTTTGGAAAGCAACCTAAAGCTAGAATTTGGACAGAACACCTCAGCACCACTCAGGCAGGGCCTCAGAGAGGCCCACTGTGACTGTACTTCCCACAGAGCTCACTCCTGAGCAAGGCCCGGTTGTGTTGCCCTTCGTCCCGAGAGCCACGGGGATTTAGGGACAGGACCTTTGACTCTCTCTAGGTGGACCCTCTCCATGTGCTTCTCCCCATGGTCGCTAGGCCTTTCTCATTGCCTGCTAGTTGGGTTCACCTGGAAAGAGAGACCCACACTCTGTCATACCATCCCTTGCTAATGAACAGGTGGATAATTCATTAATGTAAATGACACAGGTTTATCCAGTCTTCATCGATGTTGAAAATTTTAATCAGAAACATATCAGGGAGAGAACTAAAGAACCATCTAATCTCTTGAATGATGTTGGCCAATGAATCAACATGTGTGAAAATAGTTTTATGAAGAATTTGAGAACCAGTCAGTTTAAAGTATTAACAATATTATATATGTGACTTTTAATGATGACTCCACATAGCACGGATTAAATTCCATACCATGATTTTGAAAGGCCCCTGAAAATTAGCTCTTTCTTTATAGGCTCACAACTCCCTCAAGCTCTTACCAATCACTTTGTGTCCCCACAACTTTCCTCCCAGATCCATGCATGGAGTATGTGCTTGATAGAAACTTATTGAAATGAATAATTTGGCATCCCTTGCCTTTCCAACTCAATCCTTCCATTTCCAAAATGGCAACATTGCCCTTGAGCTGCTCCATGGGGGAGCTAATTAATTCTCTGAAACTGGAAAATATTTTGAAGTTCCACAGTGCTTTAGAAGCACTCAAGAACATTAATATGTGCAATAAGGACATTATTATTACTTCTCTGACACATAAATGATGAGTAATCCCTTTTTAATGTGTTTGTTTTGCATATACTCGACAAATTTGCAGAAAGTAGTGCATTGCTGTCTTATTCTCTTAATGGACACCTTGTATGGACTGAGTGGCCTCTTCCAGCTGTTTGTTCATTCCTCCAGCGTTGAGAGCTACCGTTGACACACACTTCATATAGGAAGGAAACCATGACATCAGCTTTCTGGGGCTCTGTCTTATCAAGCAGCACGGGTGCCTCAGTGGTTCTAGAAGTGTGCAGGCCATATACTGTCATGCTGAAACCTGCACCCTCTGTCTAACTAGAGTCTCTGGAAATTTTGTACAAGAAAACTGTAAGAGTGGGGTTTACCTATCTGCAGAGTGATGACCTGCATCCCAGACTCCAGACTTTTAGAGGCTCAGCCAATGTTTTACATTTCCTTTAGCTTTTTATCTGTCTTCTTTTTAGATAAATTCGCGTTCCTACTAAAGTAGTTCAATTTTGGTTTCTGTCACTTGGGACCAAAAAAAATTCCCACTAATGCAGCATTGAAGAATTATCTGAGAACTGCCTCCTGGAAAACGTCTGATTAAAGGTTGGCAAGAGTGTGTGTGCAGGAGCTGTGATCAGAGGCTTTCCTCTTTTGAAATCAAAAGCTCAGTCAACAACATAAATTGAACCTTAGTTCTAGACAATCAAAATAGGATCTTAAATAAAAAACAGGAGCTGGGCAAGTAGTCTCTAAAATGTTTGCCTCCTGAAGTCAGAGACTTGGGTCTTTTGCTGCTATGCCCTTACAACTGGAATAGAGTTTGGCACATAGGAAGAGCTTAATTCATCTCCGTTTAATGAGTTTGTTTGCTGTACCTCTTCCTTACTC